ATTTCAAAAACATTTGCAGAAGATTTAATTTTTTATAAGGTTTTTGATGAACAACATTCAAACAATATTGAAGAGTGTAATTTTTAATATTTATGTTTTAAACACTTTTTTTGTTTTTTTTTACACATAATTACTTGATTTTATTTGCCGTGTATTTTTCTTCTACTTTTTTTCAACTTTATCTTAGACGTCAAATTTACATCATTTCGATTGGAAGTGATCAGGGCAGGGCTGATAGTGAGTATGTGATATAATAGCAGTGAATGTTTTTACTGCACTGCAGTATTGCACAGATTTTCTGGAATCCACAAAGTTAAAAACAGACAAGTTTGGTAGCCTTTCTCTCTGCTGTAAGCAGCGAAGAAAGACACACACACTCAGAAATAACGAAAACGTAAAGTGTAGCCATCGCACCGACACAAAGAGCGCACTAAGTGTAAGAATGCAAATAAGAAATCCTGCAGAAACTATGTTCTTCTTGGTCCTCCGCTTATTCATCTTCTCCTACGTATGCTATCGTGGTAATCAAAGACGGCAAAGTAGACATGAGTTGCCTGTAGTATTTCATTAGCTCTCTGCACCGCATGGAGTGTGATTTTTATCACCGCTCTTTGTGTGGATTGTTTTCTCGAATATAAGTTGGAAAATGATGTGCGAAGCAAATGGAATAACTCTTTGCCGAATTTTGTACGATGCATGTAAAAATTTGCTCTGCAAACGCTCTGAGGCGCTTTCCAGCCCTGAAACCTATCATATCAACTGAAAAAAAACCCTGTTCCATATACATTGCGGCGCTAGTAGCCATATCTACGCAGTAGAGCAAATTGCCTCACTACCCTCTGATCACAAATTGAGTACTTTATCTAACTGCTCCTATACCATCACATTGCTCTATTCCGGGTAACGACAACGCGGACTCGTTGGCTAAATTGGCGCTATAGAAGGCGATATTTTTGATCGACAAATCGCTTTTGCGGAATTTTTATCAATTACCCGTCAGCAGGCCTCACCAACTGGCAACAAAAATGGAATGAGATTCTACGGTAGCATAGTGGTAGAACGCCCTTCTAGCGTACTGGGAGGTGTGGTTTCGATTCCCACTTGTAGGCAGTGGATGTTTTTCACCATTTTCGCAACATATCTCACCACATAAATACATGTTCTTGCCTTCTAGTATCGTTTCATTACAAAATATTGAAAGGGCGCTTTTTTTAAGGCAGCACAAATTATTTGTTTTAAATTATTGATTAATAGGGTAGGTGTTCCAGTAACAGTGGTGCGCTGCGGTATGAAGGTTGTGCCGGAATAGTGAGGAGGACCCGGATAAGATTATTTTTCATCTGTAGCTCTCCTAAAATAAAGCATATTTGCATATTTCAAACTTAAAATATGCCCAAAAGTGACGGCAAATAATTAATTTTCCTTAAGATTTTCACTCCTTTGCACCTATAGTTACGTTAGTGTTCCTATAAAGGGCGAACACAAAATTATTGCGACACCGAAAATGTCATGCCAATTTTCTTATAATGTTTAGAATCAAACCAAAATTTTAGGGTAGTTTTATACATATATTTACTTCAAAAATCAAAAGAAAAGTTAATCGATGGAGCCTTGAGTGTAAAATTGAACGCATTTTCGCTTGATGCCCTCTATCAAAGTCTTTACAGTGTCATCCGGTACCAGTTTCTCAGTTTTTTTTTCCCATTTTCTTAACATGTCCTTCTCGTCTTTGACTGTCTTCTTGCTCTTCCGAAGTTTCCGCTTCATTATTGCCCAGTACTGCTTTACCGGGCGCAGCTCCGGACAGTTTGGCGGATTCATGTCCTTTGGAACAAAATGGACAGAATTGGCCTCATACCACTCCAGGACACTTTTAGAATAGTGGCATGATGCCAAATCTGGCCAAAATAGCGGAGCTTCGTCGTGCTGCTGCAAAAACGGCAAAAGGCGATTCTCGAGGCACTCAGATTTGTAGATCTCGCCATTTACTGTGCCCTTTGTCACGAAAGGCTCACTCTTCAGTCCGCAAGAGCAGATGGCCTGCCAAATGAGATATTTGGAGGCGAACTTCGACATTTTCTTCTTCTTAAATTTGTCGTCCACATCGAACTTGCTCTTGCCGGTGAAAAACTCCAACCCCGGAATTTGCTTGAAATCGGCTTTTATATACGTTTCGTCGTCCATCACACAACAGCCATATTTTGTCAGCATCTTCTCGTAGAGCTTCCGTGCCCGAGTTTTAGCCGTCGATTGTTGCCGCTCATCGCGGTTTGGGAAGTTCTGTACCTTGTATGTATGTAGTCCAGCTATCTTTTTTGCATTCTGGACGTAGCTCTGCGACATGCCGATCTTTTTAGCCAAATCACGGATTGAGACGTTGGGATTTGCTTTAATCATCCGCTTCACCTTTCCCTCCGTCTTTTTGTCCTCCGGTCCCGGTTTTCTTCCAGCTCCTTTGCCGTGGTCCAACGTCAACCGCTCCTGGAGCCGCTTCAACACTCTGGAGACGGTTGAATGGTGAATGTTCAACATTTTTCCCAACTGCCGGTGCGACAGGTCAGGAAATTCCAGGTGTTTGGAAACTCGCGTTGGTTCACCTCCATTTTCGTTGAATCGAAAAACACGACTTCGAGTTTGACAGCATGTATACAATACACATCAATGAGAAAGTGTGCAAAATTTGGTTGATTTTTACCCAATGGTAAAAAAGTTATGCCCTGTTGAATGTGTCGCAATAATTTCGTGTTCGCCCTTTAATAGTGGAACCCATGAGAAACCAACGCATTCCACTATTATAGGAACCAAAGCTAGCAAGCCCCACGTACTGGAACAGTGTTCCTATTAATGGAGGACAATCTTTCTAAAATTTTATGCAATTTTATTACATTGTAATATTTTTCTATCAAAATGGAAGTTGAAAGCTATAGATTGACGTATAAAAACTGTGTGTACATCGTATATTTACTTTTTAATTGATAAATTGGCTTAGTACCTCCACTACTGGCTCACCCACCCTAATCATTTTATGAAACTATTTGTTTTTTCGTCCCTTGTTATTTACTTTGCCCCCTCCCCCCCTCTCGTTGATCTATTTGAGTGATATCGGATATAAAATTAAAATACTATTTGAACAGCCTTAATGATAGATTGACAAACATGAGAGGACTGAACAATTGTCCTTAGACAAATTTTGTGAATTTTAAGATAATCAATTCTTAAGATCTAGGATATTGACACTTCTGTAACACCTCATGAATAGAAAAAAACATAACCCTAGGACCTAGAAAACTAAGAAAAATCTTATTGTTCTGGAACGAGGAAAATTTTCCAAGATGGAATATTAACGGACATGTATAATTTTGCAGCCCTCTAGGCCTTAAAGCCTTAGAGATTTTTCACGATTTTTTTTAATCCTGAGTCTTTGATTTCAAGATCTTTAAGACAAACAAATTAAGAAAATTGTGCACCCTGAAATAATTTTCGATATTTTGAACATGTAGAAGTAGAATGTATTATCACAGTCCTAAAAAAATTGAAATGCTTCTGAAACATAGAGAACATTTTATGATCTTGGAAGTGGAAATTGTTTTAAAATCTGGATTACAAGTCCGGGAAAAATACAATACTATTTAATGGTCTTAGAAAAGGACTCAAGATTCTGCGATACGAGGCCTGCCGTTTCCGAGTTAAGTCGGTCTATTTGAGTGATGTAGGAAAAAGCCTTAAGATTTGTTGAAAAATATCGAATACGTCATATTTGAAACGTTCTGCGGGATCCAAAATGGCCATATTTTAGCTCAACTTTTCAGTCTGACCATAGTATTAAGCTCATAAAATGATAATTTTAAAGGATCATTAATTTCAACCATTTATCTAGAAGTCGGAGTTTAAGTCATACAGCGACTCCGACTCTGACTCCTCAGCTCGTTAAACTTCTTCCGAGTCCGATTCCTTGACTCCACGTCTACGCAAAAGGGATTTACAGTCGATTCTGCCATGAGCGATAAATTCAGAGTCTATTAAACAAGCAGACTTGATTCGCTGTTTTTACCAGACGAAATCCTCTTTCGAAAGATTATGAATAAACTAAAAACAAGTCCATTCAAAACCTTGCGAAAACCAGTCTCGTATTCCATGCCTAGATTACCGCCACCACCAACAGTGCTGTGTGCTCCTCTGACCATAATTGGTATTCATGTCATTGGAGAACGAGTTTTCGAAATTACAATCAATATCCATACGGCAGCGCGGTGGCGACAGCGTGTCACTCTCATTGCCAGTCACCATCAACTCTGACCGTAGACCGCAGGTTGTTGTCCACTCACCAACGTACACCCCATTCAAATTGATTCGCTATTGGGCGGGTGGCGGTGGAACGGCGGCCGAGACGTACGGACAGCACTCGAAAAAAAAGCTCATCGGCTGTCGTTATTATTACGTGCAAAGACCAATATGTGTTGAGTACCTAGTAGTCATACAACAAATGAAGCAATGCATTAAACGAAAATGCACACGCACATGGCCTCACTTTAACACATACAAAAACACAAAAACAAACAATAACATAACATTGTTCACAGAGTTGTTGCTACAGGCCATTGTACGGACAACGACCAAAACGTGTTATCTACCACCAATGCACCAATGCAGTCAACAAAATGTGTACGTGTGGCCGAACGGGAGGCAACATTAATGAACCTCATTTTCGCGGAGGTGAACCTCCCAAGTGAAATGTCGGATTCCCAAATGGAGTTGCTGAAAGCAAAACAAAAAAACAATAATTGGCACATGTTTATGATGAAGCTTTGGCCTGTTTTCTTTGCCCCGTTGGGTTTTGAACTTTTTCACTCTGCACTGGTGTATTTTCTCGCCGATCTATGCGATTGATTAATTTTGCTGACCTTGCTTCATAAACTTACAAGATCTTGTTTGTGTGTTGATTACTTTCCTATCTCTATGTCCGATTATTTTTATTTTTTTTCTTTGTTTATTTCTTTCAGCAAGCGACGTCTGGATGTGGCGTCGTTGCGGATGGTCTACTTCCACGATCAGACGGTGGCCGTCGTCGAGCTGGGACCGGAGAAGAAACTGATCGGATGCGAGTTGATTGAAATCTAGTGAGTATGGTGGTTGTGTTTTGATTGAATATCACTTGTTCAGTTTCTGTCTTGATGTTTTATTTTTCAATAATGCCCATTTGAGGTTCGTTGCTTATTGTTGTATGGAAAGCGTTATTGTTTTTTTTTATCTCTGCACTCCAGATAGGGTTTTTGATCTAATTTCCGTTTTACAAAGCAGATGAACGGGTTTGATCAAAAAAGGGGAATATTTCTGTCAAAGATTCTAAATTTATTCACCTTTCCATACGTACCGTTGAATTTGATAAAGAGTCACAAATTGTTGAGCTATTGTTTAAAATCCAATACTGCTTCTTGATTCTAAATTCGTCCTACGAGTTTCAATTCCGTCCTAACCCATTGAAACGCCATTAGATTTTCTTCGTCCTACGGATAAACGTAGAAAAGGGGGAGCGCTTCTTTTGTTTAGGGAACAATGAGCATACATATTCATACAATGCGCTCTAATAGGATTTATGTTGTAGCTAATGAACTAACGCATCGGAACAATCCTATTATTGATTTTTGCACGGTGAAATCATGGATATTATTGATCTTTTCTGATCGATAGAACGGACATGAGCGATTACGACGAAATAGCGCTCTACCCTATGAATATTTTGAATCCAAATTCCCAAATGAATGTATTCTGTTGATATTTTTATTTCAATCAATGCGGCGCACAGAGGAGTAACTAAGACACGAACCTGGTCAAAATTAATTTCTGCTGTTTTGGCGATTATGAGTGAACTATCGTTTCCAATTTAGCTGAAATTTAGCACAGTCATTCCTTTTTAGTAAAAATGTAATTTTATGTTATAAATTCTTCATATCGGGTCACGACTACTTTTCCAACAGGGCCTGTGTAAAAACAGTACTAATGAGTTAAAATATAAATCGCTACATCAACGCCCTGGACTATTGGATCCCCCCCGCCTGGATACCGCGGATCTCCGTCTGACATGGACACCACGAGCGACGCAGCGGGCGACGCGGACGGCTTCGACGCCTCGGATCGTTATGATATCCGGCACTCCGCTAATCTGAGTCACGAAAGTGTCGACTCGGCAACCGCCTTTCCGAAGCCAGCTTTACCGGAGCCCGTCAACTCTCTGACTCAATGGAACATTAATGGGTTTCTCCAGCACGATATTGACCAGCCTGTTAACCCGAGTGGCAGTCAAAACCGTGACAACGCCGAGTCTACCATCTTGTACCCCACGCCTGCACTGCCCAAGCCGGTGAACCTTGTTCTCCAGTGGAATATAAACGGATTCCATGGCCCCCTAGGGGAATTGGAGCTCCTCTGCCAAAGCGATGCCCCCTGGATAATCGCTCTACAAGGGGTCAACAAAGTCACAACCGACCAACTCAATCGTTCGCTGGGCGGGAGATACGATTGGAGTTACAAGCGCTGCGCCAATTTCAGGCACTCCGTGGCCATCGGGGTGCTTAGGAGCATTCCACACGAAGTTCTTGACCTCCAAACTGACCTGCCAATCGTCGGCGTCCGCCTTAAGAACGCCACTAACTTAGATATCGGCTGTGCGTACCTGCCCTGCGGACGGATAGCCAATCTGGATAGAGACTTAAGTGCAGTTATTTCCAAGTTTCCGGAACCGCGGCTTTTCGTCGGCGACATCAACGGGCACCATCCGGACTGGGGCAGCCCTCGCCCAGATCCCAGAGGTTCTATCCTGGCGAGCATTTTTGAGAGAGAGGACTTGGTGGTGCTGAACGATGGCGCTCCCACCTTTTTTAATGGACGGCACACCACCGCGATCGACATTGCCACTGCCAGCCGATCTATAGTGGACAGGGCACAATGGAATATCAGTACCGACATGCACGGTAGTGACCACTACCCGATCCGCATACAGCTTTCCGTAGGTGCGATTCCCCCAACGACACGGAGACCCAGGTGGCGCTTCGAGGAAGCCGACGCTCTCTTTAAGCAACGCGAACCGAACGACATCTCCAGCTTCACGGAAGTACTCTACGACGCTGCAACACTATCCATCCCAAGGACTAGTAGCGTACCCGGGCGAAAAGCCCTACGTTGGTGGAACGAGGATACCAAATGTGCGGTAAAAGCGCGACACAAAGCCTTACGCCGGCTTAAGCGCCTAGCCTTAGACGATCCTGGTAGGGAGGAAGCACTGAAGGTCTACCGAGAACGCCATCTCTCGTGCAGACAGGTGATCCGTGACGCAAAGCGATCCAGCTGGATGGATTTCCTGGATTCAATCGACGAATCCCAATCGTCGAGCGACTTGTAGAATCGCGTCAACGCTCTGAGTGGCAAGCGGCGGTCTACTCCACCTACTATCCAAGCTCATGGCACCACGATCTCAGAACCGAAGGACATCGCTGACAATTTAGGGAACTATTTTGCCGGCCTGTCCACTGTCAGTGGCTACAACAGCGATTTCGTCCAGCGCGTCAAACCTTCCACAAGCAGCATTCGTGACCTGCGAATTCCACCCGATGTCCCTTCCCTCCAGATCAACGATGCTCTTACCTTCCGGGAGCTTCAGTTTGCCCTCAGCAGCAGTACAGGTAAATCAGCCGGGCCGGACGAGATTGGATACCCGGTGTTAAAAAACCTCTCCCTCGACGGAAAAACGAGGCTACTCGCCCTCTTCAACGACCTATGGCTCACTGACTCGTATCCGGACCTCTGGAAACAAAGCCTGGTAGTGCCCATTCCGAAGAACAACGCGGCGAGTGGAGAAGCCTCCTCCTTTAGGCCGATTGCGCTCACTTGCTGCGCGGCAAAAGTGATGGAGAGAATGGTAAATCGTCGACTTAGGCAGTTCCTGGAGTCTAACAGTCTCCTTGACGAACGGCAGCATGCATTCCGGCAAGGACATGGCTCCTCCACTTACTTTGCAGCCCTCGGGAATGTACTCAAGGAAGCCCAGGACAACGGTCACCATGCGGAGTTAGTATCCCTTGATATTTCTAAGGCGTTCAACAGGACGTGGACGCCTGGCGTCATCAGGCAGCTCATCGGCTGGGGCCTGAAAGGCCACATCACGCACTTTGTACGGAATTTCCTCCTTGATCGTACCTTCCAGGTGTCGGGAACACTCGATCGGATCCGTTCCCCGAGGAAACTGGAGTGCCCCAGGGATCCGTCATAGCGGTTACGCTATTCCTGGTGGCAATGAACGGGGTGTTCAGCCGACTGCCCAAGAACGTGCACGTAATCGTCTATGCCGATGACATACTCATCGTCGTAACGGGACGAACGACTAAACGGACCAGGAATATTGCCCAAGCAGCTGTCTCCGCCGTCTGCAGGTGGGCGCTTTCTGTTGGTTTCCAGCTCTCCGCTCCAAAGAGTGTACGGTGCCATATCTGCCATCTGATTCGGGGACCACCGATCACCATCCAGGACCATCCAATTCCGCTTAAGGTGATACTCTAAGGAAGCCTTAGCGTGAAACTTCAAAGGCACAAATGTCAGCTTCCACAAAACATACAAATTTGAAATTGCTACTCTCTGTTTGTAGTAGCACAGCAAACAAGGAGTAGCAATTTCAAATTTGTATGTTTTGTGGAAATTGACATTTGTGCCTTTAAAGTTTCACGCTAAGGCTTCCTTAAGAAAACAGTACGTGTTCTGGGGGTAGTTCTGGATCGGACTCTAAGTTTCGACCAGCACTTCAGATCGGTGAAAGAAAACTGTCGTAGCCGTATCAACATCGTCAGGACAATCTCATAATGAACGGGAATTTTGTTCGTTTGTGATCGACCTAGCTGTGGTTGCACTTCATGATGGCGTTCGCCAGGGTTGCTTGAGAACTCGACCAATCCGGAGGAGGAACTTCCGATTTCAGCGGGAACATTCGCACTTGCGACGGGTGGCAGTCCTTGGTGGTGAATGCAGTCAGCAGCAGATCCTCGGACGGCATACGGGTGTCCAGTCTACCATCTGGACCATGGCGGTACCCTCGGTGATCTTCAGGAACTTTATCCTGACCGAGATCCTGACAACATTTCCATACAGGCAGAACAGATTGAACAGCTTATCGGTGTTGGGTGTGTTGTTATTGAGTCCGTAGACCATCATCATTGCGCCCTGTTGCTGTGTCGGTTGAATGAAGTTGACTGGTCCGTTTCGGGTCAGCGGTGCGTCCTTCATCAGTCCGACGTGTATTCCGGCCGGTGTTGGTTTCCAGTTTTCCGACGGATGATACTCGGGCGGTGCAAATCCGTTTTCTTTGCCGGCTCCTAGAAGGGCTGGTTGACTTATGATTGACGTTCGTTGTGCGGGGTCGGCCTTCCGTCGAAGATGGAAGGATCGTGTAGCAACGGAGCTCGTCCGTTGCAGGCATCCTTGGAGACGGATGCATCCAGTGTGTAGTCCCAACGGGAGTCCGTGTCGTTTTTGAAAACATTGAAAAACAAAACAAAAACAAGAGCTGTTAAAATACCGGGTTGCCAAACAAGTCATTATTCACAAGCAAATAAAAGTCAGTTCAATGACTTCTTGGCACTGCCCGTACAGCTGCGGCACACTGAGGTACACTGAGAAAAATGTGTGCGCAAAATAAGTGTGTAGAGTGACCACCCCTTGGCTTTCGATTGGCTTTAAATGGATCATTGGCCACATTGGTCACTCTCAGAACCACAGGAATGTTGGGGACAATTGCATTGTTACATCAAAGGAAGCCTTGGGCTTTCTTCATGGTTTTTCATGATCAGAGGGAACGTCATTTGAATGCATTTTTTCAGTCTAGTAATTACTTGGGATTTTTGGGGAAAACATAACTAATGGGATTTTTTTGAGTTTGCAAAGATAGATTAAATAGATGGGAATGGATCAGGGAATGGATTGGATGTGAGCAGAGCTGGTAGTGCTGATGCGATATAATAGTAGTGACTTTAGTGACTAAAATTACGGAAATAGTGACCAAATAGTGACTTTTAAATATTAAATAAGTAACCAATAGTGACAATTCCTCTAATTATATCGAAATTCTTTACGGAAT